CCCCCCCCCCCCCCCCGGGCAGTTTTTTTCTTCAAAGCTTCCGTTTTTGTAATGATTGCTGAGTTCCTTTTTCTTGTTGAAGTATGAAAGACTATGAAGAGAAGGCAGTGTCACTGGCACTAAATCGGGCAAAGCTCCAGGATCTTACCGACAGGCTCAAGGGAGTCCGTATGAGTTGCCCTTTATTTGATACGTCCCGCTGGGTGGGTAATTTAGTTATTAATTGCTGTCTAGTTCAAGTTGTTACCCAGTTTGTTGCTTAAATGTTTCCGTTGGATGCTAATTGAGTGTTTGGAAGTGTCATAACAATATAGCTCTTACAGTCTTACTATATGTTACTTGTATTTTTGTTTATAGCTCATAGGAATGCTTTGTAATTGTACCAGCAAGCAAGATCACTGATTTACCCTTTCATCTTCGTGTTCAGGTGAGGAACCTTGAGCGGGCATATTTCAAGATGTGGAATATATATTGTTCTGGTCAACATCCTCAGCACTTTAAAGTGACTGAGAATGATTCTGAATTTCCATATGACCAATAGAGAGCTAGGACAGATAGAGACACAGGATTGTGTATATATATGAAAGAGATATAAAATTATTTTGAAGGCTAGGTTGGTTGGTCTGGATGATGCAGCAGTGATGTTGTGTACGAAATATGATAGTTTGGAACTGGGTCGGGATTCACCATCATGTGGCATAGAGCTTCCATTTCAACTGTGATCTCTCTTGGGGTTAAAGATATAGAAAATGCTATTTGTCATGCCCATAGGTTACATTTCTTTGTGCAGTTTCTATCATTGTCATGAGATGCATTGCGTACTCTTCAAATGGCACTACACGCCTCCGCAAAATGTAATGCTGGGATGTAGAGGTGATAGGGTCAGTTGCTTAAATTGTCATGCTGGTAGGCCCTCCAGTTTTTTAAGGCATTGAGAAAAGGTTCTGGGTGTTGGGAAGGCGGATGCTCAGTGGGTAAACTGGTCTCAGCCCTTTTTCTAATCTCACTGGCACCGTTTGAAGTTCGTCTATGTGTGGTTGCAGCTGATCTTTGATAGGGGAAGTGGGTTGCAATTTGAACACCATTGCCTTACAAAAGCTGCTGTCGAAAGCTAATACCGGACGTTGCAATTTGTCCTTTGTGTTTGCTTTTGTGCAGGCCTTGGCTATTAATCGTGTTCCTCGAAATCTGTGGTTGAAAAGTTTTGTTCCACTTGGACCATTGAAAGAGAAGAATGTTTGCCGTTACTGCTCGGAAATTGTGTTCTGTTTGCCCACGAAATAGAGTGAAGAAAGTTGGGGGCACTATCATCATGCAGAACAAATGCAACACCAAATACCTTGGCGATACAACTTTGGTTATTCTTTCATCAAATATGAAGGATAAGAGGTTGGTGCTAAGAATTCTACTAAGCCACTGGTGGGCCACATCTTAGATGTTTATCTTGGGGTTTTTCTGCTGGAAATCATATTGTCATTGGTTTTTTTTTTCTCTCTCATGCCCCTCCTTGCCCACTGTAACCCAGTCGGAAAATGGAAAAGAATAACTTTGGGAGAGAAAAACCAAGGAGGGAAAGAGGGTAGGTATGGGGTCTTGAAGGGGGAGGAAGGGTAGGTTCGGGTGCAACTATTTATGTGAGGTAAAAAAAATTGATACAACTTGATCAAGCGTTCACAGTTGGAAAAAAGAAGGGGTGTTCATAAGAAAATAATCTAAGAACTCTACCGATTTGAATCATTAAAACATTGCTTTTTACCCAAAAAAGTCTTTCATCACTAGTGGGTTTTTCAAACAAAAGGGAAAGATTTTTTACTTGTTCAAATAACAATTAAGGTAAAGTAGGGTTAGAAATGACGATTCTCTTTATAATAAATAAATATATTTTACCAATTTGTTATATCTTTCGGAGACTACAAGTGTAATATGAGCATTTGTCAACAAAAAAATCACCCTAAGATGATCATCTCATGACTTTTGAGGACAAATCAAATTAGATGTTTATATTTCTCAATCTTTCTGATTTGTTCCTATAAGACCAAGGTCGAAAAGATTGAAAAAATTAGTCATTCACGACCATTGATGAAGAATTTTTTGGAAAGTTAAGGATGCATTCCATTATACATTAAATTAGATCAAAATTTTAAGTCTAAATAACATTCCTCTTTCTTAATACCCTTATTCTCCATTCTCTATTCCTCTTGCTTAACTTGGGCTGCTCATCATGCTAAAAACGAGTAATTTTCGTTTCTATTGGACAAAATCTAATTGAAGGAATAAACATGTTATCGATTCATGAAGAATTAGGGACAATGGAATTAATAGAGGAAGTTCTTCTATTATTCTTGCAAGTATCTCTTATTCTTCCCCAAAATGAGAATTGTGGTAAGAATTTAGTGTTATTTATTTGAAAAAGATAGACATATGAAAGTCTACCCAATCAAACATTACATTTATGATTTATTTATACCCAGATTACAACCAGATATTATTATTTCAACCAAGAAACCCCACAATTAAGTTAAATTACAACACCACCCCAGGCAACTAGCCACTAGCCAGCCATTCTTCAACCCCTAGTCCAATACCCCCACCCCTCTACTTAATCGCCGGTGAAGGCGAAAAGTTGAGAAGCTCTTTAGAATGCATCCATGGCTTCACCACCACGACGGCGTCGAACGTCTCCGGCAATTTATCTATAGCCATAGCCTCAATTTTCAAGTAATACTTGATACCGGAAACCACCTGCTTCTCCGCCTCCACCACCTGAGAAAACACCAAGTGCTCACCCCCGTCCACCTCGTGCCGTTTGCTATGACTCCTGTTGTACTCCTCCACCGAGTACCTCCCCAGTTCCTGAACCGCTTCGTTTGTCTCCACGTCTTTGATCTTCGTTCTCCCGCCGACCATTCCCCGGCCTAATCCGGCCGCCGGAGTTGCGGAATAAGCGACGGCGAAGAGGAGAACAATGGCAAGCACTGCTTGTGTTACCATCGCTGAGCGTCTCAACGTCAACGCCATGACCACGGCCTCTGTGTGTGTGTGTGAGAGAGTGAGAGAGAGGTGTGTGTGTATAGAGGAATGGAGGGGTGTGTATATAGTGGGCGTGGGGGAGGCGGAGGGTGGTGTTTCGACACGTAAGCTGAGAGTTGGGGTGGCAGCACAAACGTCGTGCCGCGTTTTGAAAAGATGAGACATGAGACAAACTGAGCCAACAAGAAGTTTTGGGTAAATTTCACTTACACCCCCGAATTTCATGAATATTACTAAAATTTTTTAACTTTCGTAAAATTACACAAGGAACTAGTTATGATCGATATACCTTTTTATCAAATCAACCAAAATGTGATTACAACTAAGGTATTGTTTGGAAATGTATTTTAAGTAATTTTGCAAGCAAAAAATATTAGCAATTTTAAATTCTTAAATATAATTCAATGGTTGAGTTTAATCTTTAATAATCTAAAATTTTTAGGTTCAATTCCTCTCGTACTCTCTAAAGGCTAACCACTCTTGTTCCTTTAGAGATATGCTCTAACCTAGCTTATGTCATGGTGGTTAGCCACTGAGTTCGAGGGACAACCATAATTCTGGATATCCTGTAGTAAAAAAGTATTTAGGGACTTATGTATTACTGGATTAATATTTAGAGAACGTTAGTGTAATTTGTCCACAGAGATTGAATGGGGCTTCTTCTGCGTTTGGCAGAGTTCTGATGCATGAGGTGATGAATCGCTAGTTTTCCTTTTTTGTCCCCGTGAGATGTGGGTTATTACCATTTTTTTTGTGTCATCCATTTATCATTTTGTCTGATATGTAACTGATATGTTTGGATTATATAATGAGTAGGGCTTTTGGCATTTTGTACATTCAAAATATTTTTATTTTGTATTTTTAGAGATTAAAATTTTCATGTTGGATCTTCTATACATTAAAAGTGTTATAATATCATCCTCTGTTAACTTTCGTTATTTTTTTTGTCAAAAGTTAACCCATTGATACTGACGAAAAAACTAACAAAAATTTTCAGAGGTGTAAATTACAATTTTTCCTAATGAGTAACTATCAATAATTTCGTGTTTGAAAATATTTTATAATACTAAATTTGAACATTGATCTTATAATATTTGTATTTTTAATAATAATTTTTTAATTCAAAATATAAAGTTAAAGTGAAGAGAGAGAAAATAAAAGAAAGGTATATGTAGACAATTTAAATGATTTGAAATTTGAGAGTATATTGATGTGTTGATTGAGTTATTTGTCATTGGAGAGCTGCAAAAAAGATAGTGTTTTTGAGCGAAAAAAAATGGGATAAATTTTGTACTATTAGATGAAGTAGATGAAGATTGAACTAATCTTGATCATTATTATTTTTTTATAAATTGAGAATTCAATTTTTTAACTGTTATATTAGATAGATTCTATTGTAAACTAAAAATTTGATTTAATTTGTTAATTTAATGATGTGTCAAGAAATAGAGTTCCAACAAAAACCCCTGTAACGTGTATGAATCAATGTTTAGGTAATGTTGGGGCTCATTTTCTTAATACCAATTTTATATTTGATTCTGAGATTAAAATGTATAATATTTCAATTAAAAAGGCAAAAAATAAAAATAAAAAACCTACATTAATGTGTAACTCTCTGGCTAAGGGTTCTCTGATAATTTTGGATATGAATACTAATCTCATATTATTTAATATAATAAATTATACACTATCAATTTACACAATGAATTTAATGACATTATGAAATTGTTAATATAGTATTATTGAATAATCCAATTATAATATTATGTAATTGTTGACTACCTGTAACGCCCCAAAATCCACCTTAGACGATATTACTATCTAAAATCATTCACATCATGAGAGCAACTAATAAGATCTATAAGTAAAGAAAATTTTATTCATCATCCATAATATATACAACACCATCCAAAAGAATATGTCAAATCATGACAATTACATCCCAAAAAAATATGTCAAACTATGACAACTACGCCCCAAAAGAATATGCCCAAATTATTATCTTGCAGCGGAATAAGGAAAGTATTAACATACACAATATCTTGAAATGAAACTCCTAGTCTAGTACACAAAAAGACAATTTTAGACATTCCCCTCCGGATCCACATGCTCATCCACTTGAGTTCTCCAAAGCACCTGCTAGTTCACTAGTGCATCTTTACCTCTTACCACCTCCTTTATGTGGATACGTGCATTCAATGTATCTAGAGACATCTCTTTTGATTGTTTCATAAGGCCTCTCAAAATTCTCTCCATCTCTTGAATTGGGCTCCCAAGTTGAAAAGCTTGTAGAAATCTCCAATGTTGTATGTAGGCTTCTCAAGTATAGTTCCTTTGATTCTCCTAAAAATTGTTGGTGTGATAACATAAATTAAGAAATAAAGAACAAAATAATAAAACTTGATATGAAATAATTTAGGTTAAGGCGATGGTATCTCGTTCTCTGTAAGGAGATTCAAGTCCTCTGCAGATGCAAAGCTCAAATCCATTGCAGCAAAACGAAAACATTTGATTTGTCCCCTCTAGGATACAACAACCCAACAGTTTTATCTTACGACACAAACCAACTCTACACAAGTGGTTAAATTCAAAGCTCTACTATAGAAACACCCTTATTTGGCCTGAACTCTCAAGTGTATATAGTGTGTTATGAAATGTCGCAATGTGTTGGGTGATGTTCCAAAGATCTACAAATGTCCAACTTAGAGGTCCTATTTATAGGCTCTTAGAACTTTCTAGAGTTCATGTGTTCAAGTTATTCATGAATACACAAAGAACATATATGTAACTATACATATGTAGTAATAATCAATTCATGCATATAAGTCATACATGAATGTACGTGAGTAAAGTTCATGAACATAGTTTATGAATGCATCTAATAGATATGGTTCATGTATAAAAATGAATAAGAGATACATGTATGCATTAAGTTCATGTTCATGATTGTGAATTATACATTCATTTCATAAATATAATTCATGCATAAGAGCAAGTATGATACATGTATCAATAGATACATATAAATGAATGAATCCACGTTGATATAATGAATTATATATTAATATTAAAATGTATCAACATGACCTAATCTTTTACTTTTTTTTTTTTGAATTCCTGAAAAATAAAATCAATAAAAAAAAATTTGCATAATTTCTTCTAAAATAGGAGCTCAAATAAATATCAATCTGTCTATAGAGTTTATATATCTCTTAATCATACCCAATTCAATTACAAGATTAATCATTATGTCAGAATCCTTCCTAAAAATAACAACTTACGACCATTACAACAAACATTATAATATTAATTATACACAATGATCTTTAATCATAATTAGATAATACAATTATTATTTAACCTAGGTTATCAAAATAGTTCATCAATTCTTTATTTTTATATTTAACATGACTGAAAGCACACAATTGATATGGTAAACAACTCAGATGAAACATAAGAGCAACTATCTTCTAGTAAATACTATAATCCGTTATTGCTTCCTTTTGTTTTTGACTATACTTGAGAGACAACCATGCTACTCCAATATTGCTGCTATGTCAATTTTTTGACCTATTTTTAAACTTGATTGGTAGCATAAATTTTAGCATATCCATGGCTGGCTCAACAGTAGAGCTAAAAAAAATGGTCTTTAGGCCCCACAAATTAAAAATAAAATTTCAAATTTTAGAGTTCAATAATTAAGTATATATCAAATATTAAAATCTACTATAATTTAGCTTAACAAAAAAAAAAACTCTTGAAAGATTAAGTCAATTTTTTTTTTTTAAATTTAGGTTCAAAAGTCCAGTCCACCTCATACATACACATTTATTATAAGATAGAAAAAGGGTTAACACATCAATCAAAAGTTATAACAATAAGCATCTCTCTTTCTCTCGCTCATCCACAAATAAAAATAAATCAAACACATGTTCTACTTCTCTCAAACTTGATTTTGTTCTCATTTAAATAGAAAAACATCAACTAATTAAATTATTCATTCTCAAAAAGGATCTACAATAAAAACTAATTAGTATCAAAAAACTTTCAATAAAGTTGTTACCAGAGAAAATAAAACACAATAAAAAAATAGGTGAACCTTGCATATATAAACAAGTTAAGGATCACAAAAAAATTAAAAAATAATAAAATAATTCAATAACAAGATAACAAAGAATTATGAATATATACTAATAGTCGATCATATAATACCACAATTTTCATGAAAAACATACAAAATAAATAAAAAGAACATAAAATAGTAATGAAATAATAGATTATATTTTGAATAAGTACCAGTTAAGAGATGAGAAAGACAAACAAATGTGCTGATCTTTTTCCTAAAAAGGTAAATTTGGCCATGATGATTTATGTATGTGTTATAATTCCTATGAATTGTACTATTGAACAATTGCACGCAAATAGCATGGGTATGTAATAACACATATAATGTTTAATATAATATTAGATGCCTAAATTACAAATATCCCGAATATAATAGCATCTTATAGCACGTTGTAATATTGAATATCTTTACTATAATAGAATCTTATAACGGTCCATGCATAATTTTTGACAAACAAAAAAAATACATAAAATATGGAGTAACAGATATATTACCTTTAATCACTGTGTGTCATTCAATAATTTATTTGTCTCACTTAATAGCTTTCGTAGATGAAGACTCGACAGTGAGAGACAAGTAGAGACTACGATTGTTGCGAGAAACGCAAATACTTTGATCTTTTGAATGGAAGGAAGCACAGTAGGGCTAGCCTTAGGGGCTGACCATTAAAATAGTCACCTAGAACTTAATTTAATTTTGTGAAAATTGTGGCCGAGTTCTCCTTAAGGGACTTATAATGAGTTTAGTCCGCTAAGAAAACTTATTTGAGGTAAGTCCGTTTTTAATCTTACTAGTAAGTAATTAAGTTCACTATTTTTTAAAACTCCAAAATACCCTTCTAATGACTTAAAAATTAATCTTC